GTATAGCCTAGGCTGGCCTTGAATTTGTGATCCTCCTGCCTCAGTCTCCTCCTTCAGGTGTGCTCTACCAGACCCAGCAAAAGCATGAATTTCATGGATTGTTTGTTTGTTTTTTGTGTTTAGCCAGTATGGAGTTGAATTTCTACATAGGCGGCTTTGAGAAAACACAAATACTTCTAGTATATTCTTCTAAAGTTTCATTTCAGTTTAAGTGGTAGCAAAAAATCCTTTCTTTAGCATGCCCAAGATTCTGTTGGCCACAGCTTTGTTTGTTTGTTTGTTTATTCAAGAAAAGATTTCCTGTATCCTAGGCTGGCTTTGAACTTAGTATGTAGGAGACTGGGTCTCACTAGGTAGTCTGGGTTGGCTTTGAACTAAGGATCTTCCTACTTTAGCCTCCAGAGTATGAAAATTATAAATGTGTACATTATCACCATGTCAGCCTTATGACATTGCTTATTTTTATTTGTTAATTACATTTTAAATTTATTCTTTGAAATTTTCATGTAATTTATATGATGTGCTTTGATCATATCTATCTACTATTAGCTCCTCACTCTGCCTAGTGCCTCCATCCTACTGCCTCCCTAACAACGGTTTTCTAATGGGGAAAGCAGGTTTTCTTGACTGTGAGGGCTGTTAACGTCCAGTGCCTAGGTTAATAGAAACAAGCACATTAGTGACTACAAATGGTCAATACTTTTTCTTTTTTTTTAAAGAATAATTTATTCTTATTTCATGTGTATTCATGTTTTACCTGCATGTTTGTCTGTGAAAGTGTCGGATTCCCTGAAACTGGAGTTTCAGACAGTTTTGAGCTGCCATGTGATGTCGGTGCTGGGAATTGAACCTGGGTCCTCTGGAAGAGCAGCCAGTGCACTTACCACTGAGCCATCTCTCCAGCCCCATCAATACTCTTACTAAGGCTGCATTTTTAGCATTTAATCGTGTAATTTTAAAATGTCATGTAGGAAGAACCCCAATACTTACCTGAACTCCTTACCATTAACAGCACATTCCCAGCTTCGCCCTTTTTTGGTGACTCTGAGATTCTGTCCAACACAGGTTCCGACTAAGCACTGTGTTGATCAGGATGGTTGAACATACCCTGTAGTAGTAGTTAGTGGATAACTCATTCCTGATGATTTTTAATGAGAATTACTTTGGGGAGAAATTTCTGCATGATACTGTGAGCCAAACCCGGCCTTCCTGTATGCTGAGTAAGCACTCTATAACAGAATTGTTGATAGGAAGTTTCCACTGGTCAGACTGTCCTGAAGTCCTGATCCTTCTGTCTTTACCTCCCTCGTACTGAGATTCCGTGTAGGCACCACACCACGCTGATGGCAACCTTTCAGATAGTGTAGTAGAAAACTAATTGACATCATCCTATTAATGGGAGTGAGGCTTTGTCTTGGCCTTTCAACTCTTTGGTGTGATGATTGTGGGGAGACTGGGGATCAAGGGTGGAAGGAAGATATACAACAGAATGAAGGAATGAAGGTAATTTAGGTAAGAGAAAAATTACCTCGAGACTGAGTGAAATTGGAGATTTCTTAAGTCTTTTCAGAAACAAGACCCGGTGTGACCAGTGTTCAGTCCAGTGTCACTCACTGAGGGCCAAGGAGCAACGTGTTGGGTAGTGACCTGAAACACACTCACTGCTTTGAACACTGTTTCTGAGAGCATCAAAGAAAGCTATTCAGTAGGGTAGACAGAACCTGCACGACCCGGATGCAGCGCTAGGCAAGACCCATGGCAGTGGACTGAAAAGGCTTTTCATCTCAGTGTGAGGAAGACGCTTATAAGGGACAGAAACTCAACCCCTGGCAGGGATATGCTGACAAAAAGTCAAAGCCAGTATCATTTTCTTGGCATGAGGAGACCAAGCCAAGATCGTCGGGAGGCTTAATCTATGTGGGTCAGCAGAAGCGGGAGGCTCGTGTGGCCATGACAGAAGTGACCCACTGTGCTGGATGAATGAGGGGAAGGATCTGTGTGACTCATGAATAGCTGTGCAGGGAAGGGAAGAGTGGGAGTTCTCAGAGAAAGGGAGGCAGGCCAGGCCGGGGTCAGGGAAGACCCCACAGTCATTTCATCTGAGCAGGAGTCCAGTTTTAAAAGGAAAAGTGTAGCTAGAACAAGGCGGCGGCGGCGGCGGCGGCAGGAAGGTCTTGTCCCTCCGCTAACTGTTTTCCTAGCTGAGTCAGTTGAGAGGTTCAGAAGGACACAGAACAGGGCTGGACAGTAGTAGTCCCTGAAAGAGTGACTTTCATTCCTAGGATCCGCTGCGATCAAAGATGGGGGGCAGATCTCGCCTAGGCCTGTGTGCTAAAAGAGCCACCAAGAACTGTGGGCTGTAGGGAAGGGAGGGGGGGGGAACATGATTGTGTGTCTTGGCAGTTCAGTACCACTGTGTGGATTAAAGGCATTCATTGCCTGGAATTTCAAGTATTTGCCTATCTTCAAATTAAAATATTAGGCAAAGCATTATAAAGCCATTTCCCTTGTTTCAAATGAAACTTGAATGAAAGTTAAAATGGAAATTGCATATATACTGAAAAGGCTTTAGGAATAAAAGAAAAATATATTCAGGGTTTTTGTTTGTTTTTAACTTTTCCAGTGAATTTTTATTAGTAGTTACATTATGATTCAGGGTCCCAGGGTAGGGACCATCATATGTCCAGGTCCCCCTTTTACTATCTGGGGAGAAGAACAAAGAACAGAGGAGAGGTGGGCGGAGCCAGGTCAGCTCTTCCCAGGAAATGTGCCTTCTGCTCTGTGGTCACCCCAGGTCTGAGACCCATGATGCAGGGCTGAGGGATTGAACACATGCTGGTACCACGCACACACAGACATCACCTGCCTTTGCAGTAGCTGCCTTCTCTCTCGCCGCAGCAGAAGTCCAGGTGTCTCTGCCAGCACTTCCTGTCCTGGTGATGGTTTGGGAAGGGACTGTCAAGGGGGCCGTTTCATAGCTTTTGATTTTATTTAGTCTTATGTCTTCAGCCGTGGTGCTGACTCTGAAAGACCGCCCCGGAGCTTCACTAGTTCAGTGTGACCCTTAGCCAAGATGCCAGTGTCAGGGGTTTGCTTGTTTTTTAGATCTCCAGTTTCTACAACACATACTTTATCTTTTTTTTAAATTTTATTTGTATTTTTTCGGAACTGAGGACCGAACCCAGGGCCTTAGTGCTTGCTAGGCAAGCGCTCTACCACTGTACCAACCAGGGCCTTAGCGCTTGCTAAGGCAAGTGCTCTACCACTGTGCTAAATCCCCAACCCCCAGATACTTTATCTTTTAAAGAAGGGTATTCCAGCCGGGCGGTGGTGGCACACGCCTTTAATCCCAGCATTTGGGAGGCAGAGCCAGGCAGATCTCTGTGAGTTCGAGGCCAGCCTGGTCTACAAAGTGAGTTCCAGGAAAGGCACAAAGCTATACAGAGAAACCCTGTTTCGAAAAGCCAAAAAAAAAAATGGGGGTGGGGACACCCCATCAAATTATCGTGAACAGTTTTACAAAATGAGCAGACCACTGTTATTAGAATCTGACCCCTGTTTTTATGTTTTTACAGTGCTAAGACTAGAGCCCAGGGCCTTGCGCATACTAGGCATGCGCTCTACTACCCAGGTGTATAGTATATATCCAGTTTTAATTTTCAAGACAGTATTTGATGTAGCCTGGGCTATGCTTAATTTTCTGTGTAGCTGAGGATGACTTTGAGTTCCCGTATCCCCATCTATTTGGTGGATTCCTGTGGCTTTTGAATATTTCTATGTGAGTAAGTTTGAATGGGGAAGTTTCTGTTCAGTGTTTCTTACAGGTAAAATTATGAAGCACAAATCTTACATTCACCAAGTAATAATCACATTGAAACAAATTTCTATTTTCTTTTTTTGTTTTGTTTTTTTGTTTTGTTTTTTTTTTTTGCTGGTTTTTTGAGACAGGGTTTCTCTGTGAAACAGTCCTGGCTGTCCTGGAACTTACTCTGTAGACCAGGCTGGCCTCGAACTCACAAACATCTACCTGCCTCTGCTTCCCAAGTGCTGGGATTAAAGGTCTGCGCCACCACCGCCTGGCTGCAGCCAGTGCTTTTAACTGCTGAGCCATCTCTCCAGCCCATGAAACAGTTTTTAATTGTAGCAGGTTGTGGTAGCTTAAAAAGCAGAAAGGGGACCATAACTGAGCTTTCAGAGAAACCCATGGAACCCAGAAATTGGCATGCAAATTTTTGCTAGAAGTTCATTGTAGAAATGAACATTCTCAATTTCCATTGTATTCTTTTTTTTTTAAAGATTTATTTATTAATTATGTATACAGTATTCTGCCTGCATGTATGTCTGCTGCCAGAAGAGGGCACCAGATCTCATGAGCCACCATGTGGTTGCTGGGAATTGAACTCAGGACCTCTGGAAAAGCAGCCAGTGCTCTTACCCGCTGAGCCATCTCTCCAGCCTCTCCATTGCATTCTTAAGGGATCTTTGATCCTATAATACTCAAGAAGCACTGATTTAAAAACTCCGCAGAGCAGCTGGAGACATGGCTCTTCAGTGGTGAAGAGCACATACTGCTCTTCCAGATGACTTTAGTGCTGTTCCTAGGCTGGGTGGCTCACCGCTGCCTGTGACCCTAGCTCCAGGGGAATCCAGTTCCTCCATCTGGCTTTCTTGGACACCTGCGCTCACATGCACATACCCACACAAGGACACATAATAAAAGATGAATCTTTAAGAAAAGAAAGGACAGATCATGGAATGCAGGCTTGTGGTGCTCGGGGGGATTTACAGTAATCTCTGCTGTAAAGGGACACCACAGTACTTTTGTCAGGGGATTCCAGCAGCATCCATCGCAGAGCTGGTGTGACCCTGGGCTGACCTTGAATATCATCTTTGCTTTGTTTTTTTCTTTGGAGCCCAACGGCAGTGAAGGACTTCCTTCCTTCCTGGGACTGGACCTTCCCACTGTATGCGTCATGCCTCCCCTGGGTTTTATTTTCCAGATGGGAACAAAGAGAGCTGCCCAATGGACGTGTCTATTATGTTGACCACAATACCAAGACCACCACCTGGGAGCGACCTCTTCCGCCAGGGTAAGGCCTGAGACTCTGGAATGGGTACCAGGGATCTCCCATGGGCATCTCTGCCACTCTGCCATACTGTCTTATCATGCCCTGTCTCTCTTTGCTGGCTTTCCGTCCCTCCATTCTCCTGACTTCAACCTGTCCTTCATTCCACATGCATCGCACTGGACCCAACTCATGGCCAGGGGCTTTATTACCATGTGGTATTCAGTGCTGACAGGGCCGTTGAGTCCTGGAGACAGGTTTGAGGAAGCCCCTTGGGTATTGGGGTCTCAATGGCGTTAGCTTTCTATGTGGAGACACCCTTATGAGGAGTGGCAAATTCAGTTCCTTTCTTTAGAGACAGCAGACAGTTACCCTGGGTCAGTCTCTCTCTCCCTCCTGTCTCTGTCTCTGTCTCTGTCTGTCTGTCTATCTCTCTCTCTCTCTTTCATGTGCATACACCCACACACATACATATAAATATAAATAAAAATCTCTTAAGAAAAGAAAAAGAGGAACAAGACTAATATCCGGAGAGATGGAGCAGTTGGTAAAGTCCTTACCAGGCAAGCGTGAAGACCCGAGTTCAGATCCCAGCACCTGTGTAAAAAGCCAGGTGCAGTAAGCCCGAAAGCCCGACACCAAGGGGACAGAGGCAGGAAGATCCCTGGTGCTCACTGCCTGCCAGACTAGCTGAAGTGGTAAGTTCCAGGTTCAGTAAAATACCCTGCTTCAAAATAATATGGAAAGCAATAGAGAAAGACACTGATGTCAGCCTCTGTCCTTCATACATATGTGCAGATACATGTGGCACACATGAACATGTACACAATGCAACATGCATACAAATGTAGAAAGAAAGAGAGTTGGTACATTTACCTGTACAGCCTGCCCCCAAGAGCAGGTTGCTCCTAATTCATCTGGCCTTGGTGAGAACACAGTGGAGTTCTCCCAAACCAAAGGTGGAAAAAGACTTCCAAGGGAGGAAGACTGGTCAAGTTCAGGGAGAAGGGGTTTGATTTCCTGTCTGCCAGGGACAGAAAGTTCTTTCCGCGTGTGTCTCCTAGTCTCGAGAGCTCACGAAGGGAATGAATTCTGCCCTCAAGAAAGACTCACCCTCTACCCACCTAGTGCAGTCATGAGGGGCTCCTGCATGTGTCTGAACACCGTCCTCCTCCTCCCAGTCCACCGAGGAAGGGTGGTGGCCGGGTGGCCTGGGAGAGCCTCTGTGCTTTGGTAAGTTCGGCTGTCAGGTGTGAGCCAGGCAGACCCCACCTTCCCGTCTGGCTCCACAATGTCCACACATGCGCTGCTCTCTCCAGTTTCCAGTGGAGCACTTGCCTTTCCTCTTCTTCCCGCCTTCCTGGGAGTGGTGCTCCTCGTCTGTCATCCGTAGTGCTCGTTGTCTGTCTGCTTGGACAGAAGTCAAGTGAAGGCTACCGAAGTTAAACATTGGCTTCTTAGGGTTTTGGTTTGGGGTTTTTGTTTTTTGTTTTTTGTTTTTTTTTTTGTTTTTTTTTGGTTTTTTTTGGTTTTTCGAGACAGGGTTTCTCTGTGTAGCTTTGCGCCTTTCCTGGAACTCGCTTTGGAGACCAGGCTGGCCTCGAACTCACAGAGATCCGCCTGGCTCTGCCTCCTGAGTGCTGGGATTAAAGGCGTGCGCCACCACCGCCCGGCTATTGTTTTTTGTTTTTTAATTTCCAAATTTTATTGTGGAAATGATGGAAATTTTTATACTATTATGGAAATTTTCAGGTATAGAGAGAATAGTATAATGAGCCCCACATACTTAGAGCCAGTTTTTTTCTGTACCAGGGATGACACCTTATAATAGCGTATGGATAAGATCGAGCCCTCCACCATTTTGTAAATAATATTTTCTTGGAACATGGCCACATTCCTTTGCTGACCACTCTTCTCCTGTTCTCTCCTCTTTCCTTTCAGTGCTCACATCCAGTGCTTTGGGTGTGGTCGGCATGGTAGGCAAGTGCTGTTTGAGCCACACTGAGGTTATGGGAAGGTTTTCCGTGGCTGGCTGGCTGGCTGGTTGGTTGATGTGTTGTTTTGTTTTTGAGACTGGGTCTCTGTGTAGCCCTGGCTGACTTGATAGGTAGCAGGCTGGCATCAACTTAGTATAGCTCTGCCTGCCTCTGCCTCCTGAGCCTAGAGCTAAGGCCCTGTGTTACCATGTCTGCCCTGGTTGGTTGGTTTTTTTGAGATAGGCTTCTCACTCTGAAGCCCAGGCTGTTCTGGAACTCACTTTGTTTCCCGAAGTAACGCAGACTGTCCTTGAACCTGTAGTGATTCTGTGCTTCAACTTCCTGAGGTCTGAGTTTGTTTTTAATGGCTGCTTTTATTCTGCAGTGGCACAATTGAGTAACCGCTACACAGACTGTACCAGAAAGTTTCAGACATTTACTTTCTAGAAAACCTTTCCAGTCTGTGATCTCTAACCTTCATCCACCCCCCTTGCTTGTCTTGGTTTAGGTGATTTTGAAGCAGATTGTATACATTGTCATTTACCCATATTTCAGTACACACTTCTAAAATATGTCATTAGCCAGGTATAATGACGCACACCTTTAATCCTAGCATTTGGGAGGCAGAGGCAGGTGGATCTCAGTGAAGCCAGCCTGGTCTTAGAGTGAGTTTCAGGACAACCAGAGCTACACAGTGAGATCTAGTCCTGAAAAAACAAAAAGGCACTGGAGTAAAACCTCCATGTTGTTAGTGTAAGTGATGGTACATCAAAACTACAGAACTAGACCACTTCGTGAGCAGAAAAAAAAAGATTTATTGGGGATCAAATTGCAAAGGCCATCTCAAGGTGGTGGGGAGGCAGAGAGAAGAGCAAACCTGTGGGAAAACAAGCCAGTTTTATATGACAGCAGGGTGGGGGTCTGAGCTGATACAGACTGTCTATATTAATCCAGAACTAGGTGTGTTTGTGGTTGACCTTTGGGGGAAGCTTGAGGAAGGTTCCTGGTGAACAGAAACTGTAGGAGGGCTGTTTTTCTAGTAAATGGAAACCTTTAGGCTTGTTTGCCTGGTAACAGCCCTTCTGTGCACCTGGCCAAAGTCCTGTTTAAGACAATGTCACCAGCACTGCCATTTTGTGGGGAGAGGAGGCTTTGGACCTGGTACTTAGCAGTATTGCTCTGTATCATCCAACACCCAGTCAGTGTTTCGATCTCTCTGATTGTATCACAGGTCAGCATTGACTTGACAGTATGACTTGCACATCTGAGCTTTAGAACAGGAACGCTGTAAAATGTGCTGTGACTGCCTCTGAACCCTCTTGTCTGTAGGATGTGTAGATGGTGTTTGGATTTTTTTTTTGTCTAGACAGGGTTTCTCTGTGTAGTCCTGGCTGTCCTGGATCTCACTCTGTAGACCAGGCTGGCCTCAAACTCAGAGATCCTCCTGTCTCTGCCTCCCGAGTGCTGGATTAAAGGCGTGCGCCACCAGCCTAGATGTGTAGACATTGATCTGTTAAGCATTTGGGTGGAACTCAAGTTAAAGATGGAGTTCTAAGGATGGCTAGGGTCTTATTATTCATTAGGTATTAATGTGGGACACCAATCAAACTTTCTTCTTTCTAGGATGGGGTTATTGTTACTGGATTTTTTTTTTTGAGGCAGACTGTCATGTAGCCCAGGGTGGCCTCAAGCTTGCCATATAGCCAAGGTTGACCTCAAACTTCTATTCTTCCTGCTTCTGTTTCCAAATGCTGGGATTCCCGGTGTGCTTTATGCTTTGGCTAGGCAAGCACTCTGCCAACCTGGTCACAGCCTTTTAGTGTTCTCATGGGAGATGCCTGTCTTGGTACCCAACACAGTTCTTTTAGAATCTTAAGTGAAGGGCTTTTACTTCCTTGTATGGTAGGAAACCCAGAAAGAACAAAAATATTGAACATAGTTAATATGAGAAGTCTCTGCCCAGAGCAATGTGAGGTACAATCATGATCATAGTAACTTTAAAACAGCAAATAAAACGATTATCTCAGCAAACTTACTGATTAAGAAACAAGATTGGTCAAAGGACTCACTTTATCATGACCCTATTATAGCCAATTCATAGCAACATATGTGCAGCTCAGTCCTTTTATTCTGGAGCACAAAGTATTGGGCCTGGTAGCCAAGGCTGCATCATGTGCTCTTTGGTCGGTCCTGAGCAGTGCTCCAACCAGAGCTAGGCAGAGAGAGAGAGAGGGATTGCTGTAGAAGGGCAGTGTTGGACAAGCCCCCCAGACATTGGTAGGGGTATACTTACATGAGAGCAGGGGGATGACATCAGTAGAGGTGCCAGTGGCGGGGGAGGGAGTAGGGAAGGTGCAAGGAGCAGTTTTGCTGGTGTGCCTGTGGAGCTTTGGTTTTTGGTGCTTAGTGGAGCCGAAGTGAACAGACTGACTCCATCTTCAAACACTGCTGTGTTCTCAAAGATTATGACTCTGCACAAGATTTTATGGGAAATAAATGGTGGAATTATCCAGCTTAGAAATTTCACATTTTGGAACTAGAGAGAGGCTCAGCTGTTAAGAGTGCTTGCTACTCTTCCAGAAGAGCTGAGTTTGGGTTCTAGCACCCATGTCAGGTGACTTACAACCATTTGTAACTCCAGCTCTGGAGAGTCAGTGCCTTCTTCTGTTGTGGGATATTTTGATTGCATTTTGACACTCCTGAGACTGCCAATAAAGTTAACTTTGAATCAGAAGGTGGAGCTAGCTACTAGTGGTCCAAAATTAGCCATAGAGGTTTTGGAGGACTGAGGATATATATAGAGACACAGGAAGTACTAGGGAGTGGCTAAGCGAATGGTTCGGCCTGTTTTTGGGATCAATAAAAACTTCAATAAAAACCTGGGAGTCAGATATTGGGGTAAGAACCTGATTGACCACCAGTGAAGTGGCAGAGAAGCAGTCAGTGACCTTCTCTGGATGAAGTGTTTATATAATTATTCTTTATCAATAAAAACTCAAGTCAGATATTGGGATAAGAACATGATTGATCAGAGAAGTGGCAGAGAAGTGACCAGTGACCTTCTCTCTCTCTCCTTCCTTGACCCATAACACTCTTCTGGCCTCCTAGAGCACTCATACACAAGTGGCGCGCGCACTCACACACACACACACACACACACACACACACACACACACACACACTCACTCACACACTCACTCACACACACACACACTGACAGACACACAAATAGAAACAACTCTTAAAGAAGTTTGACATTCTCCTAGTGAAGGACTGCTAGGTAAACATGTAGACTGAATATGTATTTATCCCATTCTTCCTGAAAACTTGCTAAAACGGCAACAAATTCATTTTAGGAAAAGCACAAATGTTAAAAGATAAGATATAGCCAGGCATGATAGCACATGCGTATAATCATAGCATAGGAAGTGGAGGCCAGAAGATCAGAGAGAAGCTGAAGGAAGGATGAAGGGAATAGAAGAGGGAGACAGACAGACAGACAGCACACAGGAAATAGTGATCAAAATGTCTTTGCTGACAGGTGAGTGCTGGAGCTGAGGAAGCCTGCATTTGAACTATCTAGCCAGATTGCAGCACAGACATTAAAGACCCTGAGGAGGGGTGTGGGATGAGATGAAAACTTGCAGATCACCTCAAGGCTTTTTTTGCAAGAGCAGTTCAAGTCCCAGGTTGTCAGTCATCACTCCCATTCTGCTGCTGCACGTGCATGTTTGAGCACATACTTCCTGCCACATGTGTACACACAAACATACACACACACACAGCCATGTGACTGTTACTGGCCTTGAAAAGCTTCTCAGAGAGCTGGGCCATCCTTAGGGGCACAAACCATAACTGTAGCAATAGATGGACTGAGGAAACCATCCCTCAGGATGAAGAGTGGAGGGTTTGGCTTGGTTTTGTTTTGTTGGAGAAACTGGCCAGCCTGTAGGAGAACTGTAGACTGTGACATTTGAGGACCTTCAGACAGGCTAGCTGAGCCTCTGCCTCAGGAAGACAAGCAGCCTACAGCGCCCACCTGAGTACTCAGCCTGCTCCTGCTTTATTCACAGTGATTCTCCTGTCTCAGCTTCCTGAAGACTGGGATTACAGGCATGAACCACTATGCTCAGCTTCTAAATTTTAATTAATATCCTCAAAGTTTGGGGAGAAAAATAAAAATACAGCCTCAGTATAAGAACTCAGTATAAGAATCATGAATCAGCTGGGTGGTGATGGCGCACGCCTTTAATCCCAGCACTCGGGAGGCAGAGGCAGGCGGAGCTCTGTGAGTTCAAGGCCAGCCTGGGCTACAGAGTGAGTTTCAGGAAAGGTGCAAAGCTACACAGAGAAACCCTGTCTAAAAAAAAAACCAAAAAAAAAAAAAAAAAAAAAAAAAAAAAGAAGCATGAATCTATCACTGCTTACTGAATTCTGTATAAATAGGAAACACTCTGGCTGCTAGTCAGTCAGGCTGCGAGATTCTCCTGACCATCATGCCTGGCTCATCTTTCTGTCACTGACTCTTTACCTCCTCTCTGGGACCTGGCCACAACCGGGGCTGGCCCCTGGCAGTTAATATGTGTGGCAATAGACATGAGAAAATCAAAGCCAAGTATAGTGGTACATGCTTGAGATCTCAGTTCTTTTTGTTTACATGTTTTTATTTTATGTGTATGAGTGTTTTGCCTGTGTGAATGTATGTGCACCATATGCATGCCTGGTGCCTAGGTAGGTCAGAGGAGAATGTTGGATCCCCAAGACTGGAGGTGTAGACAATTATGAGTTGCCATGGGGGTGTTGGACTTGAACCTGAGTCCTCTGTAAGAGCAACAAGTGGTTTAAACCAGTTATGAATCAACACTCCAGCCCCATAATCTCAGTTCTTGGGAAGTAGAGGTAAGAGGATCAGCCATCCTCGGCTACATAATGAATTGGAAGCCAGCCTGAGCTACATGAGACTATGTTAAAAACAAACAAACCCTCCCCAAAACAAAAGAGAACCCCAAACTTATTAGATGTTTAGAGAAATGGAAATTAGAAGATAAGTTTAGTGAACGTGGTACCCAAGTATGAGTCCTAGCAAGAGAGAACAGACAGACAGACAGACAGACAATAGGAAGTGCTGTTACAACAAAATAGAAAACTACCGAAACCGGGGGCCGCAGGAGGGGTGGAAGTGCCCGCCACTAAACTGACACCCTCACTTCAGTCCCTGGAGCCCACAGACCCCCGGGACTTGTCCCTGAGTACCATATGTGCACATATACACTCTGGCACATACGTGTGCACGCACACACATACACGCACTAAAGACAACATAACATAAACATTTTTAAAGAAAAAAATGATTACACAGGAAAACCCTGTCTCGAAAAAAACAAAACAAAACAAAAAAAGAAAGAAAAAAAAAGTGAGGTGGGCATTGGTGGTGTACACTTTTAATCTCAGCACTCTGGAGGTAGAGACAGGTAGATCTCTGAGTTCTCGGCCAGCCTGGTCTACAAAGAGAGTTCCAGGACAGCCAGGGCCTGTTACACAGAGAAACCCTGTCTCGAAAAAACAAAACAAAACAAAACAACACAAAAAACAGACAAACAAACAACAAAAAAAAAAGAGAGAGAAGAAAAAAATGAGCTGGACACAGTAGTGCGTGCCTTTAATCCCAGCACTCAAAGACAGAGGGAGGTGAATCTCTGTGAGTTCAAGGCCAGCTTGGTCTTCATAGTGAGTTCCGGGACAGCCAGGGCTACATAGTGAGACCTTGCCTCAAAAAACCAAAAAGAAAAGAATTGCCAAAATGGAAATGCAAAGTATCCAGATTAACAGGGCTCACATCCAGTGCTCAGCCTGGAAAATGAAAAGTGACCCGCCCAAGCCACATCTAATGGAATCTCAGACTGCCAAGAGATGATGTTGGAAGCTTCCAGAGGGAGAAACTAGGGTCCATCGAAAGGACTGGGAGTCAGGAATGCCACATCTGCAGTAGAGCGGCCGTCACACCAAGGATGGAAATGGCTTCCCGTTGCTTTAACATTCCAATGTAGAGGATGAGCTCAGCATCCTCAGACATGCTGAGTTTCAGAAACGTGACTTTGAAGCTTCTGCTCAGAAAGTGCCGTGTGATTTACTTCACCAAATGAGAGCAAGCCAACCCAGGAGAAAGGATGGGTGCAGCATCCAGGGGACCCAACCCAGAGTCCATCAAAGTCCTATTAGGAAGAGGGGGTGAGGTGACCCGGGATAGCAGTGGAGAACAGAGTATTGTGGACATGCAAGTGCCCACATAGAGGAGGGCTAAGGGAGAGGTACAGCTAAGGAGTTAATGACACCGAGAGATCACTGTCCTTTTAGAGAATAAATCACAAACATTGGTATTCAAAGTTGGGCATGTGGTGCTCACCTTTAATCCCAGCACTCTGGAGCCAGAGGCAGGAGGATCTCTGAGTTCAAGGCCAGCTGGTCTACAGAGTGAGTTCCAGACTAGCCCAGAGTATGTAGTGAGACCCTGTCTCAACAAATCAATATCCAATCTGACGTAGGCATTGTATCAGCTCATGTGATGGAAAATTCTAGATGCTCTGATTTCTAATGAAGTTTAGATCTTGTATCTCAGTACTCTAACCCACGACCCAGCTTTCGTCTTGTGTTCCTGTCCTGCTGTTTGCTGGGCCAACCTGACTGTATAGCTAACAAGTGACTGCTGGCTCTGCTTTCTACTCAGAGTCAAAAAAAATGGAAGACTGGTTTCTCCCCTAGAATGTCCCAGAAAATATCCTGAGATTCATTTTGATTGTCCCAGTAGGCCACATGCCGACTTGTGGCCCAGGCAACTGGTCAGTTCCTTATAAGACATCCTGAGGCTGGGCGGTGGTGGCGCACGCCTTTAATCCCAGCACTCGGGAGGCAGAGCCAGGCGGATCTCTGTGAGTTCTAGGCCAGCCTGGGCTACAGAGTGAGTTCCAGGAAAGGCGCAAAGCTACACAGAGAAACCCTGTCTCGAAAAACCAAAAAAAAAAAAAGACATCCTGAGACTATCTTTAGAATTTTGGGGGTGGGGTCGGGGGTCAGCAAAGGTGGTGGAGTCAGCAAAGGTGGCTCAGCCTGAGCTCCTTGTTTCCAGGTGGGAAAAGCGCACAGACCCCCGAGGAAGGTTTTACTACGTGGATCACAACACCCGGACAACCACCTGGCAGCGGCCGACTGCGGAGTACGTGCGGAACTATGAGCAGTGGCAGTCACAGCGGAACCAGCTCCAGGGGGCTATGCAGCACTTCAGCCAGAGATTCCTCTACCAGGTGAGAGAGAGGGCGAGACTTGCCCGCCAAGAAGGGGTGACTCCCTGCCGCCGCTGGTGTTGGCACACACACGCTGTAGACTGCGTGGTGAGCAGGACTGTGACACCACAGTCTTCGCTCACTGCAGTGAGATTCCTCACGGTTCTAACTCAGTAGCTCCGTGTCGTCCCTCAGGTCAGTCACCAGTGTGTCTGAAGCTGAATTTGCCATCCTTCTTTCCGTTTCCAAAGTGGTCTTGACTCCCAAATCTAGAAGGCCTGAGACAGCTTTCTTTTTGGTTTTGTTTGTTTTTTTTTTTTTTTTTTTTGGTTTTTCGAGACAGGGTTTCTCTGTGTAGCTTTGCGCCTTTCCTGGCTTTCCCTCTGTAGAGCAGGCTGGCCTCGAACTCACAGAGATCCGCCTGGCTCTGCCTCCCGAGTGCTGGGATTAAAGGCGTGCGCCACCACCGCCCGGCTGTTTGTTTTTTTGAGACAGGGTTTCTCTGTGTAGCTTTGGTGCCTGTCCTGGAACTCACTCTGTAGCCCAGGCTAACCTCGAACTCACAGAGATCCGCCTGGCTCTCCCTCCCGAGTGCTGGGATTAAAGGCGTGTGCCTCCACCGCCCGGCCTGAGGCAGCTTTCTTTTGCCCTTTCTTTATCCCACTTCTCTCTAAACTTTAACAAAAATCTATGGAAAGAATCTTCTGTTCTTCCGGCCCAGACTTGAGGCTCTTTCGTAGGTTGTCGAGGTAGGACTGGAAGAGTTCCGGCTTCACTTCCGCTTGCTCTTCAGCAGTTTTTCTTTTTGCCTGCCTCTCTCACTTTACCCTCAGGGTAAAAGTTTGGATTGGGGGGTGGGGGTGTCTTGAAGTGAAACTTAAATACAAAAACCGTTTTCTTTCTGAGTATTGTGGAATGGTTTACTCAGCTGCTTGGGTTGGGGGAGCTACCTTGTTCTGTGAAATAGAAGACATCTTGTACTGAAGAAACGTGGTGGGATCCTTTTTTATTTTTGTCTGCTCTAAATGTCTCTGTTGGTTTTCCCTCTCGGGTGCTATGGTGCCATGTCCTGGTTACAAGTAAGAAGGCTTGCTTTCACACAGTTATTTTGGGGTTTGGCCTTGACCCAGGCTTTGACTAGGAAGTCTAAGAGCTGATACTCTGCTAGCAGTCCCCACCACTCCCCCGCCTTCTCCTTTTGCTGGGCCTAAACTGAGATCTTGTTCTTCGCTGCACTTTAGAGAACATGAAATATGTCAAGGGCTCGGGATGGCTGGCTCCTGCCTCCCTTCCTGGGCCGGCCTCCATATGCGTGCACCTTTTCCTGCTCCCTGGGTTTCTGCTCTCCTGTTTTGGCATTTGCCTTTTGGACTGCCTAAGGGGCCTCTCTTGGTCTGAATCGGCGTGCCCACTGTTCTGCGTGTGTCACCCTTGCCAGTCCTTTTGCCCCGTGAGTGTTCCCGCTGTGTCCTCTGAGGACCCTGCACAGTCCTGCAGTTGTGTCATTGCACTAGCTCCATCCCACGCCCGTCCCATGCTTATGTGGCACCTCTGTTTGCATTCCACCTGGCCTCCTCTGATGGCCAAAGGAGGAAGCCAGGGTCTGCAGGACCAACCCAGGCCACTCTGTGCTTCCTGCTCTTGGACTCAGATTGGACCTTCCATCCTTCCCTCAGGGAACCCTTGGGCCACGTCCTCGGCACCTGGATTTTGCTCTGGCTCCATCAGGTCCATCCTGCAAACACCATGCATGCCTCTCTGCTCTGCACCCTCTGCCTTCCAGAGCCTTTTCTGTCCTCGGCTGTGTTTGCTAGACATTCTTCATTTCTGAATTTGTATCTTAAAATATTACTGGGACTTTGTACTTAATCCCAGAGGAACTTGAACTCACGTAGCTTTCTGGCTCCAGGCATGCATCCTGGACCTCTAGCCCTGGGACATTACCCAGGAGGGTGGTTCAGCAGTCACACTTGTGTTTCTGGTTCTGAAGGACACTGCTCTGTCTCTCAGAGTTATCTGCACCTCCAGGTGTTCTGGGCATCAGTCCCCTTATCCTGTCTGTGGGCTTTTTCAGCTCTGCTCTGTAGCACACTTGGACCCTCAGGGAAGCTGAGGAAAGGGGGCGTTTGGTTCCTGGTGAAGGCGTAGGAGTTTGCTTTGGGTTTTTTGGTCATGATGCAAAGCTTTTATTTTTGTTTTTCCTTTTCTTTTCTTTTTTTTTTTTTTTTTTTTGTTTTTTTTTTTTGGTTTTTCGAGACAGGGTTTCTCTGTGTAGCTTTGTGCCTTTTCCTGGAACTCACTTGGTAGCCCAGGCTGGCCTCGAACTCACAGAGATCCGCCTGGCTCTGCCTCCCAAGTGCTGGGATTAAAGGCGTGCGCCACCACCGCCCGGCTTCCTTTTCTTTTCTTATGATGTGAGTTGTAAAATGCACCTTACGGAAGACATATCCCCCGCCCCCCCCCCCCAAAAAAAAATCAAGTGATCTGCTTTAGCTATAAACAGTGAAGTCACTGTTGGTGTCCATCAGTTCTGATTTCCCATGCTGTGTTCTTCAGTCTCATCCGCCCTTTCCTATCTGTCTTTTCTTCTCTGTCCTTTTTACAGACTGAAGGTGTGGTGAGTGGAGCTGATAGGATAGGAACTGGAGGGTGCCAAGGAAATTCAGTAAAGACTGCTATAATGAAGGAGAGCCAGCATCTTAGGAAGTCTGGGATAGAAACAATGAAACTAAACAAATAGCAAGAGTTAAGAAAAGGGGTGTTAGCTAGGTACAGTGGTCCACACCTGTAGTCCCAGATGTTTGGGAAGCTGAGGCAAGGAGGGAGTGTGAGCCTGAGATTGAAGCCAGCCTGAACTATAGAGAAGTCAATTCATGGAGAGAGAAGAAGGGGCTGATGGATATATGTTTTGTTTTTCGAGACAGGGTTTCTCTGTGTAGTTTTGGTACCTGTCCTGGATCTCACTCTGTAGACCAGGCTGGCCTCAAACTCACAGAGATCCGCCTGCCTCTGCCCCTTGAGTACTGGGATTAAAGGCGTGTGCTACCACTGCCCGGCTGATGTATATTTTTGTTTCAAGTTCTGTGCCATCAGGAAGGACCTGCTGGAACCTGGGATACTTTATACACATTCCGAAGAGCCTGAAGCACCAGACTTATGCGCCAGTTGCCTCTTTTTCTTTTGTTCTGGTTTTTCTTTTGTTGTTGTTTTTTGTCTTTTGAGGCAGGGTCTCTCTATGTAGCCTAGGATGGCCTGGACCTTGCTACATAGACAGGCTAGCATTTAACTCAAAGAGACCCATTTGCCTCTGCCTCCCAAGTGCTGGAATTAAATGTCTACGTCACCACACCTGACTTGTTCAGTTGCAGGCTAGGCATTGCTCAGTGGTAGGAACATTCACCTAGCATGTGTGAATCCCTCATCCAGTCCCTGAAAACCGCAGAGTCATACCTATTGCTTAGCACTGACCCGCTGCCTTCAGTTAGGCTCTTATCTGATGGATGCATTGTGTTTCACATCCAGTCTTCAGCCTCTGCTACGGAGTGCTTTCATGAAGACTTCTTAGCATAGTTGAAGGAGTGTTACTAGGTGATGTACCTCACCACCACCTACCCCCCGAAAACTCACACACATACCCAGATGACCGGTGTGAGCTGGGGAGATTTTCATCATTGAGGCAGATCTGAGTTGGGATGGAGTTGGCAGGGACAGGCCCCAGCCCCGGGCCAGCTTCCCCCAACTTTGCACGGCTTCCTTTGAGCCTTGTGGCAGGAGGCCCTCTACTGAAAGGAGCCCTGTCCCATCAAGGCACCTATGGTTTCAAGACTTAAATGACGGTTGGAACTCACTTGGAAGAGGAGCCTGGATTGGCACCTTGGGAAGAAAGTTCCTCTGTCCCTTCAGCTGAGGGTGGAGGGAGGGATGTGGTGGGGGTTGGTTGGCAGTGGAGTACCACCAGTATTTGCTCAAGCCCAGACTGAGCCGCATTCATCCTTCTGCTCATGTGTGTGGCTCTGTCATCCCCAGATGGGGCCAGCCAGGTCTGCAGCCTGAAGTCTGCATTTAGAACCTGATCTCCAATATGATGATTAAATTCTAGTAAGTGAAATAAAAATGCTTGCGAGAAGGGAGTAAAACAATGCTTGTTTTATTTAACTCTGAAAAGTTTTTGACAGCGTGCCCCTGCTTCCCGAGGGCTACGAGAACTCTCCATCTACTGCCGCCCTCCCCCTGGGACCTTGGAGCTGAAGTCGGCTGAAGGGGCACTAGTAGAAAGAGCGACCCCGCCGTCCTGGAGCCCCTTCCCCCTTCGCTCTCAGCAGCCCCAGCCCCACCTCCCCAGACAGGCAAATGCAGAACACTGAGCAACTTCAGGTTCAGGCAGGGAAAGAATAAAGGTGCTTTGTGAAGGGAAGGGAAACATTCCTGGGGGAGGTGAGGGGCTTGGGGCATGAAAGTGCCCTCAGTCTGGGTGGATGCTGTACACCCAGGAGGGAGGTGGCGGGTGGAGGGCTGGCCCCAGCCAGGAAGCCCTGGGCGTGGGCAGGGCTTGTGGGAATGATTTCATTGGAAAGGCCTGCGGTATTTTTTCCCCTCCTGTGTGTGGTTCTTGGAGAAAGTTGGAGGTGGTGAGGATTTCAGTTGCCTTGGCCGCCAGGAGCAGGAGCTGAGCAGAGCAGAGGTCGGCAGTAAGCTGGCGGGGGAGCTTGCTCTGAGCCCTCCTGCCATGCTTAGGCCTGACTTCTGGGGCCCCTAACCCCACTTGTTCTCCCTGCTCCTAGCCCTCCAGTGCTGCGTAGAGTTCTTTTTCTGGTTTTTCTTAAACAAAGACTTTAAAGGAGCAGATGCTATCTAAGGTCTCACTGTGTTCTTCTCTACTAAGGGCTAAAATGTGGAAGTGAGTCTTTGGCTTTCCTACTTCTATTGATGAATTTATTTTTAACCGGAGTCTTCTTTTTCTTAACTTCTGTGTTCTGCTGTTTCTTGTATTTAGTCTTCGAGTGCTTCGTCTGACCATGATCCCTTGGGCCCCCTCCCGCCTGGCTGGGGTAAGTACTGAGTCCTCAGCCTTCTGTCCCCGTCTCCTGCACGTGCTGTCCCTTTGGGTCTTCACTGCACTTAAACATGTGCCGAGGACACCAGCTGGAGCAGTGGCAGTGGAAGAGCCAGCGGGGTTCTCCCGTGTCACCGCAGCAGTCACCTGCCCCAGCTGAAGGAGTGTGACCCCAAGAAAGATTTCCCCAAGCAGCCACGGGACGGTTCTGCTTGAGTACTGAGTTTGGGGGCGGGGGGGGGGGGGCAACTCAGGAATCCACTGAATCCCAGTTACTTTGACCTGTCTGGTGTCCGTGCAGACTTCCCTCTGATTGTGACTCTGGCATAAGGGGCTGTCGTAACAAGTCTTCTTTGCAGCTGAGACACCGGAGGATGGACAGCAGCCTAATTTTGACTAGTGTCAACCTGCTTTTGGTTGTGGTCCTGAACGAGACCACAGGCAAGCAGAGTTACCCCCTGGGTATTGGTCCTGAGAGTACAGCACTGCTAGTTAATGGCTGACGATCCCTTGTCAACAGTAGCTGCTTCTCACCCATCCCAGGTCCTTGTGTGACTTGCGAAGAAAGGGTTAAGGCACAGGCATCCTTTAAGGGCAAGACATTCATGATTTGGGAGAGATTGTAGGCTTCATTGCTATTCTAGGAAGGAGTACTGTGCAAAAAAGTACCATTAGAAATGGCAAGACCCAGGAGATTCTGCAGCTTTCTGAGCCGGGCAGGATTTTGTTCAATCCTACAAGAGTCCCTGGTGCCAGAGGGAGGATTTTCACAGGAGTAAGCAGGTAGTGGGTTGGATTTCTTGGTTAGGGAGCGGAAGATGGTAGGTGCTGGTCTGGTGGTGCTCACAGATGGCATTACGTGAGTGGGGAAGTGCCGCTGGTGTGCCCACAGTGTCAAGGGCATCATCTCCAGGATGATCCTTTGGGGCTAGATCTTGATGCAGACACAGCTGTTCCCTGGTGGTAATTTAAGAGGTTCTGCCAACTCCTCTAGAGTGTCACTAAGCTTCTGTTACATTCCAGAGTGCCAAGAGGCTCCTGTAGCCTAGCCACAAATATTGGTTAGTAAAAGCCCATGGATTCTTGATTTCAGGTAGGAAATCCCCATATACATAGACAACTTGCCTGGCTCCCTGGCCCTCAAAGTAAGGTTACTGGCACCCCAAGGATCAGTGAGTCAAACATGAGGGTAAAACTTGGGGATCCTGACACAGGCAGGGAAGGAGCATCAGGCTAATCAGGAGTCCGCAGCACCATATCGTAGCTGGTGACTTGGAATCTGGACTGCAGTTTGGTTTGGGCTGTGCATGGGCACTCGGTGTGGCTCGACCAGCTGCACTTACTTCTTTCTAAATGATGGTCACCAGTGAGAGGACTGTGGAGACTGGAAGGTAGCTCACAGGCACAGAGTGTGCAAGCATGGGAGGTAGGAAAAGGGGAGTCAGGCTCCGGCTCAGTGCTGTTTGTGTGTATCAGGAAAACAGCACTGCTCCCTAAGTGAGACAAGAGCACTGAGGCGGCCATGGTGGCACTCGTCTGTAGTTACAGCACTGTGGAGGCTGAGGCAGGAGGAACGCTGGAGTCCAAGAGCTGCCGGAAAACCCTGTGCCAAGAGTATCCTGGGGGCTCTGGGTTGGGTTGCCAGGACTGCAGCAGGGCTGTAGCAGGACTGCAGCAGGGCTGCAGCAGGGCTGCAGCAGGGCTGCCTCCCCCCAGATGGCAAGAAGAACGGAAAAGCCAGGCCTAAAGAGAATACCTTGGATGGTGAGCCTGCTTGTCTTCCGTTTGCCTTGAGGTTTCAGGTGCCATTGTACTCCTCCAAGGAGCCCCGTGGCTGTCCCTAACTATGGTTTGGTATGGGTGGGCACCTCCAGTTTAGAGCAGATTGCTCCTGAGCAGCCTTGGCATGTGACAAATGTTTCTGAGTCCATTTGCCCCTAAAACATGGTGCTGTTGTGTTCATAAAAGGCCTTCCCCGTCTCTGCACTACAGACCCATTCACTGAAGGCTGTCCAGTAGGTCCATAGGCCTCCAGGCAGTAGCAACAGAAGGTCAAGTGCCTAAGGGCTCAGACCCACTGGACAGGTCACCCTGCTTCGTTATTGGCCTTGGCTTTGATCCTCGGGTGAGCAGCCATGGAAGGTTTATAACAGTGGCTCCTGAGCTAGGCCAGCCAATCCCTCGGACACCTTAGGGTGGGGACTGGGCTAGGGGTGGGAGCTGCTTTCCAAGGCCAGACATACCCACTAGCTGGGGACTGAAAGTCTATAAAGGTTCTGCCACCTCCATTCTTTCTTTCCTTTATTTTCTTAGCTTTGTGAGGGTGTGGTTGACAAAGTCTGTTTATAGTTTCGGTTGTGTGGTGGACAACTGGTAAGGTAGAGTTTGAGACCAGACCTCAGACATACAGGAACTGTCCCAGCATGGTTCTAGAGGGGACCAGGGGCTGCTGGTCTCCCCATTTCTTCCCCTTTTCAGTTTTTAGGTTCCCCTCGCTCCTGGAACTTTACCGTTGTTTCTTTAATTTTCCCGTGTCACTGTGACAGAGTGAGCGCTGTTAGCGCTGCTATTGCCAGGGCAGAAACAGCTTTGTGGCTTGGGAACTTCCTGGGAAAGGTGGCCTGTTGAAGCTTGGAGCTTGTCTGGTTTTCTTCCAGCCAGCCTCCGTTCCACTCTGAGGCTGGCCGGCAGGGTAGCCGTACTGCACAGCTGGGTGCAGTTACATCCCTGGTTCTGCAGGGTTGCCCCTCCCTACTGGCACACCACCTTTCCATCCGACAGGGCCTGGACATGGCTGTGCCCTTCCCTGCCCTGCAACAGGGAAGGCTTTTTGGTGACAAGTGTGCCTGGCCAGGCTCTCTCCTCTTAACCTTCTGTAACAGGTTGGTGATGGGGACAGAACTGTAACCCATCACACAGGCAGCAGGAGAGGGCCAGACTGGTGGAATCTGATTGCACTCTCCTTCTTCTCCTGTGGCAGAGAAGAGGCAGGACAATGGACGGGTGTATTACGTGAACCACAACACACGCACTACCCAGTGGGAGGACCCTCGGACCCAGGGGTGAGAACGCAGGCGGGGGGGGGGGGGGGGGGGGGGGGGTGAGGATGGGGTGAGGGCTTCTGTGCAGTTCCACATGTGGTCACATGGCGTTGCGTTTGCCTCACAATACTAACATCAGGGGACCTTTAGCCTTAGTGAGGACCTCAAGACACATAGCAGTCTAATGAGAGTATCACACTTTCCTAGGGGGCACAGGAGCATGGAAGGATGTCACAGCAGGCACTGAGAATTTGATTGTCAAAAAGTTGAGGGCATTCTTGCCCCTCAGAAGTAAGGCAGGGACACTTGGTGTCTCAAGACTGCTAGTGATCACTCAGGCTGATGTTACCCACCCAAGATGGGCATTTTAGCCCCATAATAAATGGCCGCTTTTTGCACATGGCCTGTTTTCTTCAACTTGAGTCTTGCCGGGTGCATATCCTTGGGGTGCCCCTTCCCCTACGGAGGGCTCTGAAGAGCATGGAGGAAGCAAAGACAAAATAGTACTTGGGGGACCCCAGCTTCTAAGCTCAGCAGCCCATAACCCCTCTTCTGTGTTTTTAGGATGATTCAGGAGCCAGCCCTGCCCCCAGGATGGGAGATGAAATACACCAGTGAGGGTGTGCGGTACTTTGTGGACCACAATACCCGCACCACCACCTTTAAGGATCCTCGCCCCGGGTTTGAGTCAGGGTAAGGACCTTCACAGCCACAGTCTTGTCTCCCAGCACAAGCCCAGTCTGTCCTGTTCACTTGGCTGGGGAAGAGGGGGTCTGTATGTGTATGTGTTGTGCTAATCATTACCCTCCAGTGCTAGTGTGGACGGGCCCAGGGCCATCCTCCTTACCGGACCTCTAAAGGTGAGAGGTGTGGCAGTTTCTCCATGTGTCTTTCCCTCTCAGTGGCAGTCACTCCTCTTTAAAGTCACAGAGCAGAGCATCTGCTCTTCCTAGGGCTCTCAGAAATGGGCTGCTCATTGTCTGAGAACTCAGACAGGTTCCAGCACATCCTTTGCTCTTACCAGGACAAAGCAAGGCTCACCTGGTGCCTACGACCGAAGTTTTCGGTGGAAGTATCACCAGTTCCGGTTCCTCTGCCACGTGAGTTGGGCTTTGAGGTGCTGCCAGCTTGGTCCCCCAGACCCACATAGCACTGCGTGCGTGTGTCTTAGATGGGTGCAAGGTGCTTGCCCCACCCTGAGCTGCTTGTCTCTCAGGAGTAGGCTTCTAATCCTGGGGCATGTGGCTGTGTTGTCACAGATGGGAGGAGAGCCCATTGCGTGGGCATCCTTGGGAAGCCCCAGTTGAGAGTCTTCCTCTCCTTTTCAGTCAAATGCCCTACCCAGCCATGTGAAGATCAGCGTCTCCAGGCAGACACTCTTCGAGGATTCTTTCCAACAGGTTAGAGACTATTTTTGATTCTGGGATCCTGTGCCAAGCAGGCTTCCTCCCATCACCTCATCCCACCTCATGGCATAAGCATTTGTAACCATTTCTGCTGGACAGTAAGCCTTCCAGTCCCCTGCCCCCACACCCCTGCCTGCTGTGCTGGGGTCAGGGGCAGGATGGCTGGATACCCTGTCTCCCCAGATTATGAACATGAAACCTTATGACCTGCGCCGCCGGCTCTACATCATCATGCGTGGTGAGGAGGGCCTGGACTACGGCGGCATCGCCAGGTGAGCTAGGGTGCCCAGAGGGCTGTGTTCTACCCCATGTCCCCTGGCTTCAGGGCCCATGGCTAAAAAGCCACCTCCTCCATACTGTTCTTTATCCCCTGAGTTCTCCTGCATCAACAGGAAGGGCCCCAGTGTGATATTCAGAATCATCTCTTGGGTTGGGGATGTAGCTCAGTTAAGGGAGGATGCTGTCCAGTGAGCAGGCCCTGGGTTTGGTCCCCAGCACCACATAAAGGCATGGTGACTCACATCTGTAATTGTAGCATTTGAACAATAAAAGCAGAAGGATTAGATGTTCAAGGCTGTCCTTGGCTACATAGTGAATTTGAGGCCAGCATGGGTCTCTTGAGACACGGTCTCCAAAAAGAAAAGGAAGGAAGTCCCATGATAAGTCTCTGCTGGTACCAGTGAGCCATGAAGCAGGGCCAGGCCTCAGCCCTTTGGTTACTAGAATATGGGGGTGCCGGAGGCTTCCTGGGGAGGGGTGTGGTGTATGACTCTATGCCAGCTTACATGTCATTTTTCTATACTTAAAAACCAACCTGTCAGTTGTATCAGTGGACAGTAGCTAACTATGGGGTCTGTGGGTGTCCCTTAAAATCAGCTCTCGGCTTTCCTCCTTTTTGAGGCATCCAGAGCAGGGGAAGTCAGGTTTCTCAGACATATCTGATGTATCTAAGCATGTCTGCCTCTGGCTGCATGTCACGTACACCAGTCAGCAAACTCCCTAAACAGCCCACAGCGCTGTGCTACCTCACTCCACAAACGTTAGCAGGCTGGCAAAGCCTCGCCTTGGACGACAGGCAGAGGGCCCTAGCAGGGAGAAGGCGCATCTTGGCTGTGCTGACCTCTCATCCCGCTGACCTTGTGGTGGGGGGATATCTTCCTGCTTGGCACTGGGCTCACCCACCTCTGGTCCTGTTTGCTGGTGGTGTAGTCTGCTGTGTTGACCCCATCCTGCGAATGGATTGTTCTTTTTTTCGTGGTGACCTCTCCAGGCTGTGCTTGGTGGGCTTCTGGTGTGGCTCCCGCCCTGTGTGTCTCTCTCTGTGTCCTGCCAGTGGTTTTACCCTATGGTAGGTTACGTCATGCTGTTCTACCACAGGGTAGAACCACGGACAGGATACCGGGGCACCCTCTGCATCGAAGGACTCCGTCTACACAGCCACAAACAGACAGCAGCCAGGGGCTGTTCCCTGCTGGTTTAGCTCAAGCCCTAAAGGACCCCGAATTCTGGCTTATACTCAGGGTGCAGATAGATGCCGAGGCATCTATTGGGTGGGTGTTGGTCGAGATGAATGTGTCCGAGTTTGGGATAGGGTACGGAAAATGGATTCTGGATGATGGGAGGGCAACATACAGGTGAGGTACCTGTAGGGTAGCTAGAGTGAATGAGGTTTCTAGAGGCCAAATGAACCACAGAGCTTTCAGGGCTTGGGGTTTGGGAACATGCTACTGTGTATTCTCCACATTGCACTGCATACCAAGTTGGGTGGAGCGGGGTGGATACTGTTGTAGAGCAGAAATGTCAATGTAATAAATGTGTATATTCATGATTTCATTTCATTTATTTATTTGGGGCATAGGTGTGTGTGTATGAGTTCTTATGGGCCATATAGCATGTGTGGAGGTCAGAGGACAACTTATGGAGATTCAGTTCTCATCTTTTACCAAGTGGGTCCCAGGGATTGAACTCGGGTTGTCAGGCTTGGATGCAAGAGCCTTTACCTGCCAAGCCTTTTGCTAGCCCAGCCTATAATGTTTTAATATAGTCCCTTTGTACAGTACACAGCTCCCACAGTGATGCATGGTGGCCCTGGGTGTGAGGAGCCCCTTTGCCACCAGAAGCTCTAGAGATTGTAATGTACATGTACTCTGGGAGCTGACAGGACCACACAGGTCTCCTGAGCACCATCTCCAAGTGCTCTTGTTCTCCTTCCCCCAAGATCTGGGATGGCCGACTCACTGACCTCCCGGGACACATGTGTCCAGATGGTCTGACCCAGCAGAGGACTCCATTGTTTTGTCCTCTCTCCCCTCACAGAGAGTGGTTTTTCCTCCTGTCCCATGAGGTGCTCAACCCTATGTACTGTTTATTTGAGTATGCTGGGAAGAACAATTACTGCTTGCAGATCAACCCGGCCTCTTCCATCAACCCTGACCACCTCACCTACTTCCGCTTTATCGGCAGATTCATCGCCATGGTAAGGGGCCTGGGATTTCTGAGAAGGGCAGCCCCAGGAGGCTGGCTCTAGTCACCAGGAGCAGCAGCCCTCAGGGACCAGGGTCCTGCCCTCTGTCTAGGACTCACTGTGACTCTCCCCTCTTCCTCACACAATTTCTAACCTGAAAATGAAAAAAACAAAAAAGCTAGGTAGTTGTGGAGAAGGGAGAGATTTCTCGGTGGCCATCTGGGGCTGTCACAGGGTTTCTTATGTTACTACACAGAAGCCCAGGGACTTCATCTAAGTCCGTGGGGACTTACAGGATGTGGCTGGGCCAAGCAAAGCCCTAACTGGCTGCCTGTGGCCTTTGTCTTGGAGGTGCTATGTCTTTCCTGAGCCACAATGGCAAGGAGACCTTTGGAAATGTCTGCTGAGACACTGGACCTTCTGGAAGAGAGTTAGGGATCAGCATGGGCTGAGATCAGAGTCACAGTGAACTGGCTGGTGCAAGGCGGCGGCAGGGGGGTTGCAGCAACCGTAGTCACCTAGAAACACAGGCTCAACATAGCGGTGGAGAGGGCCATGCAGTGTCCCCTGTGATGACCCACACTGAGCAGGGACCTAGGAGGCTGTGGTTCGACTGTGGCCCAGTGCCAGCTTTTCTTTGTTGATGTCCTCAGTCTTACCCCACATTCCCTTCTCTGCAATACCAAGGGACCTAAGGCTTTGTCACTAAATATGGCCATTCCCATCATCTGGAAGTCCTTGGCTAAACGCTGGCAATGGCTCCAGAAGTGGGCACATTCTTCCTGGGTCTAGAGCCCTGCCTGGCCCAGCAGCAGACAACGACAGACCAGTGAGACTCTTAGACTATTACTCACCTCTGGCTGCCAGCTCTCGCCGGCCTCAGTGTCTACATTATTTTTGGCCTCTTGTGCCATCCGCTCACAGTGCCAGTGAGTCCGGGCTGCCACCTAGAACAGTTATGAACAAGTTTTCCCTGGAAGTGGGGGACAGGCCTCTGCTAGAAAGGGGAGTGGCCTGGCCAGTTTGCTGGGCAGACAGACAGTGGGCCTGCTTTGCCGGCCCTGTGGCTTTCAGGGTAGGATGAGTCTGTCCCTATGCCCAAGTCAGAAAAAAATGTGCTTGTTTCCCAAGTCTCCCCTTCAGCTAGGGAAGCTGGCTCTCGGGGAGTCCTTTCACGGGGAGGGAGCCGACACCCAGAGCACTCCTGAGTCTGCCTCGGGTGCTGGCCAGGAAAGTCTAACCCTTTTCTGTGCCTCTTCCTGGCCCAGGCTCTGTACCATGGCAAGTTCATCGACACAGGCTTCACCCTTCCTTTCTACAAGCGGATGCTCAACAAGAGACCAACTCTGAAGGACCTAGAGTCTATTGACCCCGAGTTTTACAACTCCATTGTCTGGATCAAGTGAGTCCTGGCTTGCTCTGCTCTGGTGGAGCTGAGCGCTGATTGACCAGTTGGTACCCTGACCCTGATTTCCTCTACCAGAGAGATTCCTGGGTGCTTACCTGGCCTCCCCAAAGCCTATAGAGATGAGAGCTTCTAGGTCCCCTATTCTAGAATTCTCTCTCGGCAGCAGAAAATGCACCAAGCCACTGGTCAGGGTTCCTGGCCACCTGTGAGTTCCTAGTGCCTGTTGGGTGCCTTAGTATGAAGTCGGGCAACTCAAGGGCAGACCTTGATAAGATGAACATTTTCCCCCTTGGCCTCCTGTGTCCCAGAGAGAACAACCTAGAAGAGTGTGGCCTGGAGCTGTTCTTCATCCAGGACATGGAAATCCTGGGCAAGGTGACAACCCATGAGCTGAAGGAAGGTGGCGAGAGCATCCGAGTTACAGAAGAGAACAAGGAAGAGTATATCATGTGAGCCTCAGGCCTGGGGGAGGGGCACGTTCCAGAGAAAAGGACTCTACCTGTTCTTGTTCCATCTTTGACCAGGCCCCACTACGCAAGAATATCCTCGGTGTATCTGCCTTGGTTGGTCACATAATGACTTGAGCTATGGACCTGGAGCCTCTGGCCTTGGTTACCTGCTCCAAGTTGATCTTTTTGTGTTCAAGAGCCTACCCAACTGCAGGGAACTTTGAAAAGAAATCTAAAGCTTAGATGTTGGCGTCTCTCCCTGACCCAGAGGGTTTCTGTGTCCAGTGTATTTCAGTCTTGGCTCTCCAATGCTGATGTACAGACCTCCCACCCAAGTTCTTTTGGTTGCTTGGTCTGTTCCTTTGAACCATAGAGTTGTGTAAGTATGAGGTTCAGTGGTAAAGGGGCGATGACGCCTGGGCTCCATCAGTGGCTTGTCTTTGGTTTTAGGCTGCTCACTGACTGGCGGTTCACCCGAGGTGTGGAAGAACAGACCAAAGCCTTCCTGGATGGCTTCAATGAGGTGGCCCCTCTGGAGTGGTTGCGATATTTTGATGAGAAAGAGCTGGAGGTGGGTGCCAAAAGTTGTGGGCCCTTGAGTTCAGTGCTTCTAGGGTGCCCCAGATCCATGATGTGCACCCACAGAAAGTCACCCACCAAGCCCCCATTTCAGCAAGCTCTCCAGCAGGGCAGGTAGTGTCTGTCCCTGATTCTTAGCCCTGACTTCCCTGTGCTTAGAGAGCAGGGCCATTCACACTTGTGAAAGAAAGAACTAGCAGGTGGACCAAGTTTGGGAGTCACCCACGGTGAGAGGAGGCAGCAGCGTGTGGGTGTGCGCCCGTGCCATGGGGAGGGCACTGACGCGTCCTTCCCTGCAGCTGATGCTGTGCGGCATGCAGGAGATAGACATGAACGACTGGCAGAAGAACGCCATCTACCGGCACTACACCAAGAGCAGCAAGCAGATCCAGTGGTTCTGGCAGGTGCGTCCTGGGCTGTGTCGCCCTAGGTGTGTGTGTGTGTGTGGCGGGGGCAAGGGTCTGTCAGGGATGGTTACCAGTTACCCAGCAGGCCAGACTCAAGGACCCTTCATCTTTGACATATTCCTCCCCTCCCCAACTTGGAGAAGTAGATGACAAGCCTATCTCTGGGCAGGATAGAGGTGGTTGTGGCTATATTGTTGCCACCTTGCATGACAGGTTGTCAGCAGTCAGTTTGGGCCCAGTCTCTAGGAGCCAAGGGGACCCACGGCCAGGAAGTTCGGCTGCAGTCAGAAGGGGTGAGATGGAAGGCACTAGAAAAATGCAGTGAGCCCATTATCCTGAATTGAATGACTTGGTTCCTTTATATATGTGGTATATGTGGGGTTTACAGCTGTTTAACAAGGAGAGCATGCATGGAAAAAGACATATGCAAATATCCGTGTGTGTGTGTGTGTGTGTGTGTGTGTGTGTGTGTGTGTGTGTGTAAAGTTTTAGTGGAGGTCTGCTTCACATGGCATGCAATTCACCATCTTAGACACTTTAAAGTGTTCAGTTCAGTGGCTTTAGCTCCTTCACTGTGTTGTGCATTATTCAACAAACTACAGTTCATTTCCCTGAGAAGAAGCCCTGTTTCCACCAAACAGCCACTCCCAACCTTAGTGTGTCTTTAAAAGCAGCATGTTGCCGGGCGGTGGTGGCGCACGCCTTTAATCCCAGCACTCGGGAGGCAGAGGCAGGCGGATCTCTGTGAGTTCGAGGCCAGCCTGGGCTACCAAGTGAGTTCCAGGAAAGGCGCAAAGCTACACAGAGAAACCCTGTCTCGAAAAACCAAAAAAAAAAAAAAAAAAAAAAAGCAGCATGTGGGGGAGGAGGGAAGGCTGCCAGGCCCAGGATGTCCCTGAGACCAAGCAGTGTTCCATGGACCCTTGGGATGTTCTACAAATACCCTCAAAGGAAGCATCTTTGAAGATCCCTGATTGGTGTCTGCCTCCCCTGCCCAATGTGCTTCCCCACCCCCTACCCCCACCCCCAGCCTGGAGATGTCCCTGCTAAGGTCTGACATGCTGGGTGAAGGGCTCCCTAACTCCTTGGAATTGCAGGTGGTGAAGGAGATGGACAACGAGAAGAGGATTCGGCTGCTGCAGTTTGTCACGGGAACCTGCCGTCTGCCTGTTGGCGGATTTGCTGAACTCATTGGTGCGTTTCCCCTCTGTCCTCCTGGGGGTGAGGACAGCCCGGGGCATGCACATCTTCCTGGAAGTTGGGGAGGGAAAGGTTCTTGCTTTGGGAAAGGCCATCTGTGTTGACATGGTACACTTGCCTTGGATGGCAGGGAGCAACGGACCCCAGAAGTTCTGCATCGACAGAGTTGGCAAGGAAACCTGGCTGCCCCGGAGCCACACGTGGTAAGTTTGCTAGAAGCCGGCAGGCTGGGAGGCAGGCTGGTGAGGGCAGGACACCTGGAGCGCTGGTCTCCCCATGCCACTCTAATGTCTTCTACAGCTTCAACCGTCTGGATCTGCCACCCTACAAGAGCTATGAACAGCTGAAAGAGAAGCTGCTCTATGCCATCGAGGAGACCGAGGGTTTTGGACAGGAGTAGCCGAGGCTGTCCCTCCCATACCCTCCAGCACACGTAGTCCTGAGTCCTTCCTGCCTGAGATGCCATTGGCTGCACAGCCCTTGGGAGGCCCCTTTGGATAGTGGCCCTGTGTGGGACCGTGATTTGATCATGTTGGTGACCGAAGAGTCTGACCCTAAGAGGCTCTGCGGCCCCTTTCTCCTACCTGATGATGGCAGTCTGGACATAAAGCCCCGTCACCTTTGACTTCACCACCTATTGCAAAGTCAGAGGGCTGCCCCTCTGCAAAATCGCCCCCTCCACTAGGACCAAGTCTAGGTGTGTGTGAGTGTGTGAGGGAACATGCCCTGCCTCAGAGGGCTGCCACAGAAGCTGGGCCGCTCATGTTAGTTGAGGAGATAGGCTGTGTGCGTTGACTGACTGGACCCGGGAAGCCAAGGGGCTTTGCCAGCAGAAGAGGCTCTGCTTTCCTAGACCCTACCCGGAGTCTGTGAGGAACAGGCCTGAGGGAGCAACTCTGCATCAAAGCTGTCTTGGTTGTCCTCCAGGGTGGGCTGCAGCCAAGGGGACTGAGCAGCAAGCACCTAGTGCCGCCAGGGTGGGCTGCAGCCGAGGGGACTGAGCAGCAAGCACCTAGTACCGCCAGTCGTCTCTTCCTAGCAACCAAAGGGTTGAAGAAGCCACCACCTGTGTGTCGGTGGGAGGGAGACAGCAGACGCCCAGACTTTGTCCTGTGACATAAACTTGAAGTATATTTGTGTGTAGGCTTGCCTTCTTTTGTTTGGGGGTGCTGTTACCACCCTCTGTCAAGGAGCTGGTGCTCCAGGTGTTCTGGGTCCTTGAGGGGCTCACCCCTCCTGATCCAATAGCTTCCCAAACGGCTGCTCCTCTCAGGAACCCGCTTAGTTAGCAGTTCCCCAGCTCAAGAGGCCTGGCTCTGTAGCCCAGTGCATCCCTGCCATCCTCTAGCCTTTTGCTAGACCAGGCAGCCCCCGGTTAGGACCAGGTTGACAGTGCTGCTGGTCCTCAGTGGCTTCTGGAGCTCACAGTGGCTTAGGATGGAGCACATCTTGGCCAGCCGAGTGTTTGTGCTGTGCAGGCATGAGCTTTATCTGACCATGGGAAAAGACACTGGCCGGATTTATGATGCTCCTGACAGCCTCCCATGTAGGTACACAGGCCCCTCGGGGGTGTCAGAGTGTTATAGTGGCACACTCCCTCGTGCAGACTCCCTGTGCATACTAGCTCTGGGGCACCCCAGGCATGCTCTCAAACTAGTCACAGGTGCCTTCCAAGGACAGTCCCTTTCTACCTTCATCACCCCCCATATAGCCTGTGACCCCTCCCCCAACATTGCACATGCTACTCACCCCTTCCTCTCCCATGCAGTTTCTTTCCGTACTCCCCACAAGCATCACAGAAGCTACTCTGCTGGGTGGGGGACCAGCTGCCCCCAAGGTCAGGAAGCATAAGGCTCACAGGTGTTCATGTGTGTCTGTGTGTGTGTGTGCGTGCGTGCGTGCGTGCGTGTGTGCGTGTGTGTGTGTGCGTGTGTGTGTGTGTGTGTGTGTGTGTGTGTAATGGAAGTGTGTACAGAAAGGCCTGTGCTAGCTAGCACCAAGTTGGTTGACAGATTGTTTTGTAATGCCTGCCCCTGCCTTGGTATTGCCAGTTTCTTGTGCAATAAACAATCAGCAGCTGTGGGTGGTGTCAGTGTGGCTGTTTACATGCACTCTGTCCTGGAAAGAGGCTTCCAGCCCCACAGGTCTTCTAGGATCCCCAGGCCAGAGCAGAGTGATAAGGCCCCAGCCTTGCTGCCCTTGAGAAGTTTGGGTACCAGTAAGCAAGGTAGCCTTACTTCTGGAATGGGTGGCGAGTCCTGCAGAGGTCACTTGCTTCAGCCCTGGTCACTGGGTCGTACTCTCTCAACAGAAGAGCTGAGATTTATGTAGGGCTGTCACTCATCCAGGAAGTGGCTCAGGTCGCATGAGTCCCGTGACAAGGGAATCCTTGATTTGAATCCAGGGTCACACCTTGGCTTGCCACTCAATTATTTGGACAGGTAAGGCTTCAAAGATGGAGCTGGGTATGGTAGTGCATTTCTTACAATCCTAGCACTTGGAAGACTGAGGCAGAAGAATTACTACAAGTTTGACGCTAGACTACATAGAATGCCACTGCCTCAAAAAGAGCCAAAAGGGAGTAAAGAGATGACTCAGTAGTTTTTATTGCTCAGTTATCAGCATCCACATGGTGGCTCACACCGTCTATGCCTCGTTTCAGGGGCTCTGTCACCCTCTTCTGACCTCCCCAGACACTGGACACAACATGCTCCACATAAATACATGCAGGCAAAACATTCATATACATATATCACAAGACTTTCTTAAAAAGCCAAACAAGCGTGGGCTAGACCACCATCTGATGAATGAACACATTTAACATCGAAATGACTACACATTCTTTTGTTTGTTTGATTTGTCTAAACAAGGTCTTTCTGTGTGGCCCTGGCTGTCCTAGAACTTATTCTGTAGACCAGGCTGGCTTCAGACTCAGATATCTGCCTGCCTCTTCCTCTGGAGTGCTGGAATCAAAGGTGTGCGCCACCATGGCCCAGCTAATGACTGTCACATTCTAACCACAATGATTCCAGGAGGTGGAGGCTGACTCCTAGAAGCTAAGTGACTAGTTCACTTCCCATCTTATTTTGGGGTGCAAGAGCTTAAAAATGCGTCTTTGTGCCTGGTAAGCATGCAAAAACCCAGCTCTATGACCTTCCAGAGGCTTTTTCCCACTTGATGGGGAAACACTATACTTTGATTAAAAAAAAAATACTGAGGAACATTTACATGGATTCAGAAGTTTCATAGTAAGGTTTTTTTTTTTTTGTTTTCTTGAGACAGGGTCTCATTATGTAGCCCTTGCTGGCTGGGAACTCACTGTACAGACCAGACTGGTCCCAAACTCAACAGCAGTCTGCCTGTTTCTGCCTCTGGAGTGCTAGGATTAAAGGCCTGTGTCACCAACCCAGCCATAGTAAGTTTTACTCTGACCTGTCACAGTGGGCACTCACCTACATGTCTCCAGACATGACTGCCATGCAGTGGGCTGTGGTCCCTCCAGACAGGTCTGTGTCCATATGCAATTTGTAGATGTCTTAGTTAAGGGTCCTATCACTGTGAAGAGAGACACCATGACCACAACTCTTTTTTTTTTTTTTTTTAAGATTTTATTTGTCATGTATACAGTGAATGTTCAGCCTGCAGGACAGAAGAGGGCACCATATCTCATTGTAGATGGTTGTGAGCCACCATGTGGTTGCTGGGAATTGAACTCAGGACCTCTGGAAGAACAGCCAGTGCTCTTAACCTCTGAGCCATCTCTCCAGCCCAACCACAACTCTTATAAAAGAAAAACATTTAATGGGAGTGGCCTACATTTGCAGAGGTTTAGTCCGTTATTGTGGTGCAACATGATGGCATGCAGGCAGACATGGTGCTAGAGAAGTAGCCGAGTGTCCTACATCTTGATAGATGGACAACAGGAAGTGGTCTGTCTCTTGGTGGGTGTGGCTTGAGCATATATGAGACCTTAAAGCCTCCACAGTGACACTCTTCCTCCAACAAGGCCACTCCCTTTGAGGGCCATTTTCTTTCAGACCACCACAGTGGATATGTGTGATTTTAAATATACTAAAAGTGGGATTGCACAGCTGTTGAGTGACCTCTTTCGTTAATGAGGTGTTGGGGCAGTTGTCACGTTAGTCACCATTTCTTCACTGCCATGTGACATTCATACCATTATTCTGTAAGGTACCCATTGCCTTCCTGAGGTGAGCTGTGTCCAGCAGCTTGCTGGTGTCTGCACAGCTTAGTCAGATGACCTTGGGCAGGCCCAGTGGGAGACAGTCCTGAAAGCTAGATTGTTGCGCATTGTGGGTTTTGTTATGTTTGAGATCGTTACTATGAAGCACAGGCTGGCCTAGAGTAGTCATCCTCCTGCCTCTGTCTCCCAACTGCTGGGATTTCAGACACTCGCCACCACTCCCAACTACATTTTTATTTTAAAAATATAAAATGTTCAAATTCAAAGATACAAAGGGTCTGCACCAAAGGCCTCCACCACTCTGGCTCCTCATCCGCTCTCATCCCCAGTCCCTGTCTGTACTGGAACTATTCATTTCTGTCACCACACCAGCAACTCCCTGTCGTTGGGGCTCAGGCTCTCCATATGTCTAGAAACGAGCAGAAGCTGGACTACAGAAGGATTTGTTGGATAAAAGCCAGCATTCCTCAGGAGCTTGTGATGTGGTAGTGAAATTAGGGTTTTCCATCCTCAAAAGTGGTCCCTCCCCACAGCTGCTCATCCTACACACAGTCCTCAGGATTTGTCCACCTGCGTTGTCTTGCCCCTCTATCGGGATTTGTCCCCCTGGGCTGTCTTGCCCCTCTATCGGGATTTGTCCACCTGGGCTGTCTTGCTCCTCTATCGGGATTTGTCCACCTGGGCTGTCTTGCCCCTCTATCGGGATTTGTCCACCTGCGCTGTCTTGCTCCTCTTCTCTGCTCTCTGGTGCTCTCTCTCTCTCACTTGGCTATCTCCACTGTGCTCTCCTGGTTCTCTGGCCCTGGCCCTGTCCAGTGTCCGGTTTCATTTTCCTGTCTCTCCTTTTTTCTTTTCAGATCTTAATTGCTGTTATTTATAATATGTAGCATCTCAGACCTAAAATGCTTCCAATTCCCCCAGTTTCAGTCTGGCTTACTGCTTTGAGTGTGGTTGTGTCTGACCCAGAGAATCTGTGGTCTAGGTTTTAAACCAGGCTTTTTTCTTCTATTTCACGTGCTTTTATTGTATTTACACTAAAGAAGTGAAGTGTGGATTCATTGTACCATTTTGGAAGTCTCAAAAAACGTCAACAAAAAGAGCAGGTTGCTAGGGTGCACTTGTAATTCCATCAGAAATTCCAGAACATCTTTAGCTACATACTGACTTAAAGGCCAGCCTGGACTACATGAGACCTGCCTCAACACACAACAGCAGAAAACCTGGGATGCTTTGCTTTTACATTTCCCGTTAACGTTATCCTCATTGTCAGTCTTTAGAAAACCCCACAGTACCTGCTGCTACTTAGCCTGGGATGCCTTTAAAATCCTTCCTTTACATTCATGATTGATTGATTGATTGGGGAGGGGTACATGCCACAGCACACATGTAGAGATCAGAGGGTAACTTGTAGGAAGCAGTTCTCCTTGCCACCATATGGGTCCTAGGGATAGTACTTAGGCCGACAGGATTGGCAGATACTGGCTGGTGTTTATCAATCTGGCACAAACTTAGACACATCGGGGAAGAATCATATTGAGAAGATGCCTTTGTAAGATTGGTCTGTGGGCAAGCCTCGGGCGGGGCATTTTCTCGATGGATGATTCATGTGGGAGGGCCTAGCTCACTGTGGGTGGTACAACCCTTGGGCAGGTGGTCCTGGACAGTATAAAAGCAAGCCAGGAGCAGTGTTCCTCCATGGCCTCTGTTTCAATTCTTGCCTTTGGATTCCTGCCTTGAGTTCCTGTCCTGACTTCCCTCAGTGACGGAGTGTGACCTGAGAGTTGTAAGCTGAAAGAAACACTAATTCAAGTTGCTTTTGATCATGGTGTTTTATCACAACAGAGCCCTAACTAAGTCGGTGCCTAACCCCCTCATATCCCCAGCCCCTGATGATATACCGGTGAGGTAGGTGACTTCTTAGGTGGTCCTCAGTGCTCCCCTGCTGATGCTTACAGCTCTGTGGAGGGACTTTTTCCTTGCGTGTGGACTAGTTTAGCACGTTTTCCCAGCCAACAGTAATGGGATGTCCTGTCTGTGACTGCAGACACCTGTGGCCTGGTTGTCAACTGACTCTCCTTACTGCTTCCCAGCATGTGTACTCTGAGAATGAGGCTGCTATGGTGAAGCCCTGGTGGCAAAGGATAGAGGGCAGATTCCTGTCACCTAGCTAGCAAAAGAGGAAGATGTCCGGTAGGCCATGAGGCCTTGAATGCTGCTAATGGCCAGTACAATAACTGGTTCCTTTACTCTTGGAACTGCCAGATGCCAACAGCCCAGGGGACAGCTGGATTGCAGCCTGTGGCCAGCCCTGAACCAAGGCTCCAGATAAGCTATGCTTGGGGCTGCTGACCCATAACATCTAGGAGATGGGGAAAGGTATGTTGTTTAACTTGTTACCCAGCCATAGATGGGTTCTACATTCTCTGTCCAATCAAATGTGTGTAGATTAGTTTTGCTTTTATTGCCTGGTACCCGAATATGGCTATGGTTCTTGGTAAATGAAAGGCTCATGGTGTGGAGAAAACATGTTGTTGGGCATGATAGGACATGCCTTTAACACCAGCACTTGGGAGGCAGAGGCAAGAGGATCTCTAAGTTTGAGTTCAGCCAGGGTTACATAAGGAGACCCTGTCTCAATAAAACAAAGAAGCAAGCCAGTAAGCCAGTATCTTGTTCACCTGTTCTACATGCCCAAAGGCCATGGTCATATTCTTCTGGGGAGAGAAGGGTGCCACAACTCAGTGTCACTCTTGTCCTTGCCTCCAATCCTCACCTGGCACCCTTCGCCCGGAGCTTGGCCCAGCCTGAGACTGCAGGTGGCCTCAAATGCCATTAGTACTTGTCTGGGCCTCCAGCCAGTTGGCAAGGGTCAGTCCAG